AAGGCAGAAAGCGCGGTGAGGTTGCTGAAGAAGGGGTTGAAAAGCGATGGAGGAAAGTGGAAGACGTGCGCAGTCTTGGAATGTGGTAGGAGGCTGGGGAGTGGTCCCAGATACTGGGTATGTGCGCAATACAGTTGCAACAAAGAGTGCAAAAGTACTATTCACCCAGCATGGGGCAGCAAGACAGATGTCGGCGTTAGTGGGGAGGCCATTGCATGATGGAAATGCCTACGGATGTGCATCACTATATACTTGCGTCGACTATCTGTCAAAGTTCTTTGTATAACATGGCGCGATGCGCTTCCCCATATTCACAACAGGATACGTGTCACAATACTACGCATTCGTTTGTGTGGGACATGTATTAAATTATTGGTATAGTTCTATGACTGAAACAATCAAATAGTACCACTATTTACAGCATCATCGCGGCAAAGACACCGGCCGCAAGAGCAGCAGCACCTCCACCAAGCTTGGTAGCAGCACCCGTGTACTCAGCTGGGTTGCTGCTGGTGGGGCTGGGCATGCCCATGGTGCCATTGGGCGAAGTACCATTTCCACCAACCATCTCAAAGTTCGCGCAAGTAATCCTCGTGGTGTTGCCAGTGTGCAAGACAAATGCCAATCCACCGAAGAATCCAGCACTGCCCTGCTCAACACTGAGGTACGGGTCGACAAAGCTAGTAGAGAAGCTTCCTTCCGTCATGATCTTGCCGCCGTGCTTGCCAGCCAAGTCACCAACCTGGCAGGTCTCGGGCTGCGCAGAGTCGCACATGACGAGCTCGCCACGGTTTGTAGGGTCCAAGTGGCCCATGGTTGCTGTGCAGTTTCCATCGGCGGGGACTGGCATGGCGTGGATGTGCCAGGCGAATGGGCCGAATTGCGCTTGGTCGGGTAGATCGGTTAGGTCCACGGTGAAGTTGACACCGCCAGCACCACCCACAGCTTGGATGGAACCGGAGACAGTGCTGCCGACGAAAGGGTTGTATTGCACCTCTGGTATGGTGGCGCGGTAGGTGGCTGAGGGTTGGTTGGAAGACGCTGTCGCAGTGCCTTCGAGACCACCGGTCTCACCTGGGAGGTAGCCAGGCGCAGGCGGGAGGGGAGAGACGATGGCTCCCTGAATTGTGTCGACACCAGTGAATGGGGTGGCGGTTGGAGTTGCGGGAATGACACCAGACTTTGCGGTCGCAAGGACGACAGGGGCAGGAGCACCCTCCTGGACCTGCTCCTGGGCGTATGCCAGAGCGCCAAAGGCGAGAAGGGAGAAAGACTTGGACAGCATCTTGTAGTTTCGCGATTGATGTCTGAGGAGCGAAGGTATTCGAGGTGCGGATGCTTGACTGCAGGTGACAGTGGCTACCCTTTCGTCTCTTATACCAATTCCATGATCAACACACGCCTTGTCAGGCATGCAAACAATACCATTAGCCCTCCCAATAGACGCCCTTGAGCTTGTCACCAAGGTGACATCAGTAACTGTCATATCCTTCGCTTCCTCCACCAACAGCACCCATCTCGTAGACGCCTCCAGCCGAGCCAACACGGCTCATTCCTCCGCCGCAACAACGGTGCCAGCATGCCCTCGCGTGCGCATTCCAGCCGCCTCAATGGGTTCAACAAGCCCCATCTGTGCTGTGCCAACGGATAAATCGTGCCGTTAGTTGCTCGTCGCTTCCCTCGCGGCAATACGCAGCTATTACCGGTCATGAGATTGGCGAAAGCTTGAAACGCAGCGGAGTCTGCAGCGAAACCTTGCAAACAAGCCTTTTACAGGCCAGCAAACGTTCGGATTCTCGCCCGGTCCGCGTTAGCGCTGTCTGGGGTGCATTGCAGGACCGTGCCTGACATCAGCATGTGGAGATGCTGGCAGAGATGACCGTCTTGGTCCGAGATGGCGGGTCGTCGAGCGTGATGTCAAGACTCGATGGATGCGGGGTGCTAAGCGAAGTATGACAACGCCGCGCGCTAGGATTCAATACTGTCGCTCCGCGGTGACTAGAAACGAGGTGACGCGTAGATGTAGAAGAAAGGGCGATTAGAGGTTTTGGCGAGATGAGGTGTGCCTGCTTCCTTGGTTTGTTGGCCGTGTCGCAGCGGCATGTTAGGGGCGTATGGCTCGCGACTTAGCACGAAGAAGCGGCGCGACGGGTACCTTACTTTCAGTGTACTTGAGAGGAACTTCAAGCTGTCGGTAGCTCGTTCGATGATATCCGGCAGATTGAGCGCAACGCTTCTGAAACCACACGATCGCGCCTTCCCGGGGAATCATTGACGATGACCGGCTACCTCGTCATTATGGTAGCAGAACGGAGCAATGCTTCAAAACAAGCATATCGCGAGCGACCTGACACTGGGAATGAAGGTTAGTGATGAATAGACATGATCGTGGAGTTCGTTGGAATGCGGCCGATGAGCAACCATGTCAGACGCACACAGAGTCCGGAGCTCGTGAGCCAGGCTTGGTGAAGTTTGTGCTCTGCCTATTTGGCGACGCGAGGGGTCAGAAACATCTTATAGCCGTCGTAACGATGTGTATATATCATAACCTGCTCAAAAGGACTCTTCGTCTCATTAGTGCCTTCTAGAGGCCTTATGGCAGCGACGAACATGTGATGCTAGGTTTTTGCTACTCAAGCATGACTCGATACCCAATGCTGTACGTTGATCAGAGGTTGGTGTGGCTAGAAAGCAGAGCGTGATGTTGTTTCCGATTCGCGCACTTGAGTTGGCTGGAAGGATTTCAAAATCACGCGAGCTGTGCAAGCCCGATCCGCGGAGCCCGGTTTAGCATGTACAGCTTGCGCGGATGATGCAAGATCTGAGGGCCATTGGAAGAAGGATATAAAGACTGTTCATGTTCATTGTCAAGACCGACGGTGCGTTGCAGCCGATGCGCGTAAAACCCACCGCGTCTTAGCGTGTCGTGGTCGCGGCTTCCCTCCTCGACACCTCTGATCCTGCACCAGGACATCATCACCTACGCTGTGTGGTGACCACTGTCAGAGCACCTATCAAGTTTGTGCCGCTCGCAAATTCCTTGATCGCAATGATAACGATGCGACCCGATACGCCCCTACACAGGAGGATCGCGATTCCGACAGCGGCGCTGCCGCTAGTCGCAAGCCTTCATCGCCGGGTGGAGCTATGACCACCACAATGGGGTCCTGCGAGTACGAGCAACCCCAAGTATCATGAGCATTCGCTGTTTCGCTTCGTGTACAGCTTAAAGGTATATCTCATTTGCTCTGCCAGGGATTCGTAAAAACGAGTCTCCTCCTACCGGAGGATCAGTCCACCTGGGCATCATTGGCGGAGCAATCCGCCGCAGGCCCAGCAAGCAATGGATCTCGATTGAAGGCCACCGACCAATCCAGAGAGGTAGAGACATTGAAGCACGCAATCTGCATCCAATGCAGTATACATGCTTCGTGAGCATCGTCGTAACAAGTGGGGTTGCACATTATGACGGCGGGGTTGAGCAGGTATGAGGTAAGACGCTCGTCAGGGAACAACATCCGACGCCTCAAGGGCTTTCAGCTCGAAAATCATCTGTTCACTGCTTGTACTGCTTGATACAACAGAAGAAACGGCGTTCTCATCATCTTCAACAACATGTCCGACTACAGCGATTATTGTTGCAAAAGGCGAACGATTCAGCAACTTCCAGTCCCCGCTCGGAAGGGTCACAATGCCATACTCAACTCCAACTACTTAGACGATATTGTCGACGCGATTGGTACCTGGAGCTGCCAGCGCATTCTCATAGTGCACTCGAAGGCGCTTCATGAGAACACGGATATTGTCGAGAAGCTGAAAGAAAAACTGGGCTCGTTTGTGGTAGGCACAAAGTCAGGGGTGGGCGCTCACTCTCCATACGAAGACGTACTGGAGATCGCCAGACTATTTCACGAAAAGAACGCGGATTGTCTGATCAGCATAGGAAGTAGCAGCTACTCGGATGCAAGCAAGATCGCTCGCTTGATGCACGCGAATCTCGCTCGAGATAACCTCACGGTAGAGACCATGGAATCCCTGGTAGATCAAAAGAAGGGAAGTGCAGTTGATCTGAAGGACCCTACGACAAGACTCATCCTCGTACCGACAAGTCTATCCGCAAGCGAGTGGAATAACAATTCATCTGCAACGAACCCCCAAACAAAAAAGAAGCAGCATTTCGCAAGTGAGCATGCAGCACCAGACCTCATCCTTCTGGATCCTGAGGTAGCGTCCACATCGCCTCGGAAGTTGTGGCTGTCGAGCGGGATGCGCGCGGTAGATCATTGCGTCGAAACGGTATGTACTGCCCTTCGGGTTTCCCAAGGTAGAGACTGTATTGACACTGTATCATTTACAGATGCTCAATAATGAGTGCACCGAAGAGGTTTTCCGCCATATGGAAGATGCGCTTGCAGTCCTACTTAAAGGGCTGAGAAACTACAAAAACGGCGAAAGTGACAGCAACCGATCCGAGCTGCTCGATGGAATCGGCAATTGCCAGATAGGTTCCAGGAACGCCATGATGGGTCTCATTCTGTGGAGCGTTCCGATGGGGCTTTCGCACGCCATTGGACATCAGCTGGGAAGTGTTTGCGGCGTAATGCACGGCGTCACGTCTTGTGTCATGCTCGCTCCTGTTCTACGGTACAATGCCTCGAAGTCGGAGAAGCAGAAAGAGGTACAGCAACGCGTGCTGGGAATCTGGAACAAGGTCCTTGAAAGCGACGAGCCGAGCCTTGCGGATGCGGTGGCCAGCTTTGTGAGAAAGCTTGAGTTGCCGAGTACGCTGAACGAAGTGGGTGTTACGGAGCAAGAGGACATCGAGAAAGTAGCGGAGCGCACCATGACCGACGTTTTCGGAGCGATGGAAGGTATGGGCGGGAAGGAGGATGTGCTGGCTATCTTGGCTTCAGCAAAAGCCCCAGGCACCGAAGATGGGGGGCTGGAAGGTGGCGCACCGATGTAAAGCACGCCCTAGGTAGAGAGAATGAAAGAGCCGCTCATATCAATTGCGCTCTCGACTTGTCCTTCGGGAAATAATGCAGCCGCAGGTCACCCAGCGGAAGCTTCTCAGACGTTGCTACGTCTTCCATAATGACATTCGCCAGCTCAGTAGGGAGCTGGCCGCCGCCCCACCGCTTCATAGTCCTCCAAATTTCGAATATCCTGCTGCTTTCGTGCAGGAACTTTGTGGATCGACGGAACCAGCCAGCGGTCATGTACCGAGCCTGAGTGTATGGGCGGGCGAACCCCCACTTCTCCCAATCTTGTAGATCTTGCGCGGCCCATACCGGCAGCAGATCTCGAGCCCTTGACAACGCTAGCGTCACTGGTGCTGTAGCTTTGTCCCATGGTATGAGTTTGGGGGTCGATGATGAAGATGTGCGTGGTTGGGTAGGATGTGAGGATGGTGGATCCCATTGATCCACACAAATCGTCAACAACGCATCGTCCAAAATCCAATACAGACTCTCGCGTTGGCTATGTAGGAACCGATCCAGTCTGATCTCCTTGTGTCGCAGAACGTTGACGCCCCAATCAACCAGTAAACATGCCGCCTCTGCCCACAATGCTGGCGCGACGTCCACCAGCTTGTGGACGCTCGCGGCGAATTCGCGAGTACGATGGAAGAGCATTTGGTAGATTTGCGGGACAACAGATAGGCCGTGAAGATCGGCTAGGATACTGGTGTTCATGAAGCGGAGGTTGCGATCCATGTTGTATGTGCTGTTGTAAGACTCGCGGTCCCATGGTCGTAGAGCAGGGACGCGGAACTCTCCATCTTGCGGCAAGGGATCAGAGGCTAGACGTCGCGGAACCTTGGAGTCGGGAGGTATGTTTAGGGAAGGCATCATAGTGGCCACTGCAGCTACAACGCAGGCCAGAGTGATGTAGGAACGATGATCGCTGTGGATGCTGTTGGTCGCGGCCTTACGTCACGTGAGCTGAGCTGAGCTGAGGCTGTTTCGTTGAGAAGCGGGGTACACAGCCCCCTTCAGCTAAGGAAGTGCAAGAACACCTATGAAAGAACGACTTAGAGAGCGTGTCTGAGTGTGAAAGGGTCACTCACGTGGAAGGGCGGCTCCTGCCCATCCGGCACGCTAGCGCTCTCCGACGCCGGACAGCCGGCAGATCTGGACGCGTACGCCTCATCACACATGGACCCTTCTTATACAACCCTTCAACAATCGCGCGCCAGTCGATGATCCACCCGTTCATAAAATCGCGAGACCCTTCTCAACAGGGCCAAAGGGTCCAATTGCGCATTCTTGGCCGTATACTTGTCTCGTATGCTCGGATCTAGCCCGTTATCGGCGTCGATCATCGCACGCGATGACAATTGTATACCATACGAAGCACCCGTTCCGAATTTCGAGAGAAGAATGGGATGAAATTGCAGAGCTTCAGATCATCTCAATGGATGTATGTCGAGCGGGGTAGAGTATCATCATGTAATGCAAACCCTCATTTTGGGCTCAATACATCGAATATATCTCATCATGATCAAGATGTAGTCAGTCGCAGTATGTCCCCTTCATGCGATACCATCAGTGCTTCCTGCTTGATGTGAGAGCTCATCCGTCAGTATAAGAAGGTGACTTCCCCCATCTAACATAGCAACAACCAACATCTTTACACCCTCAAGATTCAGAGTTTCTTCTCTAACAACCTTTTCTCATCCTTCATTCTGACCTAAGGGTCAAGCAACATACAAGATGATGAAGTCCGCTTCCATCATCACCATGTTCTTCTTCTTCTTCGGTGCGGTCTTCGCCGCTGTCGTCCCCCCTTTCGTCACCTCTGCCGCATCCGCCATATTTGCCACACCTGGCCCCCGTTCCGAACCCCTCTGTGCGCCTCTCGGTGACAGCACTGCCCCGGAGCCATCCTCCAACGCTCTCTCGGCTTTTACAGATGACGAGAATTACGACGAGTTGGCCTTGACGGCCCCGATCCCTGCCGGCTACACTGCCACCATGAAAAACGCAAATTGTGCCTTCTCGTCCACCAGGTACATGCTGTACGTTCAACTGGACTCATACAGCCCGGAGGCTTGCGCCGAACTCTGCAACAACCACGAAGGCTGCGACTCCTGTAAGTTACACCCTTCAGCATCACATTTTCCTATAGAAAAGCTAATCATCTTCCTCTACGTAGTCAACATCTACATCCAGCGCAGCCCGTCCATAATTCCAGGTCCGGCCTGCCCAAATCCTGTTCCCATTGCCGTTGCTCAATGTGCCCTCTACTCCCTGCCGGAGGAGGCATCTTCTTGCACAAACTTCGGCCAGCACATTGGCCCCGCCGATGCCAACGGTGAGGCCTTCAAAACTGCTATGCGCAGCTCCAACGGTACGTTCTTCGCCTATACATTTACGTAACAACTCAAAACTAATCAGTCTACGCAGCATACAACAAGATCGCTGTCAAGCAAGTCACCGTGACTGTCACCACTACCCACCACATGCACACGACCTTCACCAGGCTTGTCTCACGGAGTGATATTTCACAGAGAGATATCGCCACTACTATTGACAATGGTGATCGAACGATCAACATGACTACTACTGTCACACACACTCGTTCTGCAAAGTCCAAGTCTGTGGCTGTTGGGACCCCGGCTGGTGTTGTCACTGTCACTCGGTCGGCAGATCCTGCGTCTTACGTTGGTACGGTCACTGTTACCCGTTCGGCAAACCCGACTGCACATGCTGGCACTACAACCGTTACTCGGACCAGGTCAACTCCCACTGCTCACGCCGGCACTGTCACTGTGACCAGGTCCCAGAGCGCAGGCGCAACGCCCTCCCAGTTCCAGTCTGTCATCTACACAACCGTCACATCCTACTACGACAAGCGCGCCGAGCCGTATACTGCGCCTGCTGATTGCGTCACCGTCACTGTGGAAGGAGAACCTACATACGTTGACACTACGACCACGACCATCATTAACACGTCTGGCGTGGCGACCGTGACTACCACTGTCCCCAACACCTTACCCGCAGAGGAGACCACGATCATCACCATTGATGACGCTGCGACACCTACCTACCCTGGCAAGCGCAGCGCTGCTGTCACGGCTGAGCCAATGAGCACTTTCACGATTGACGAGAACTACGTGTACACTGGTCCTACGGATGTGCCTATGAAGACCTATACTATTTACCCAGATCACTAGAGTGAGTAGTAGGGGTGTATCTGACTTTCTTGTGCTTTGCAAATACGCTGGACTTAGCGCGGAGTCTGGCGTTAACAAGAGAATTGGATTTTGCTGTGCGGGCTGATAGTGTCTTGACTTCTTTCATTGTCGACATAACTAGCTAATAAGAAAACCCCATAAAAACAACTTGTGACTTTCCAGTGATGCAAACCCAACCATGTCTCTCACTCCCTAGCACAATCATCGCAGAACCACTCTCCCTCCGGAACTGTCTTCGACGTCATCCCAACGCAGGCAAAGTGGAACCACTCGCCCGCACAATCCTCCCCATCACACGCCACCATCCGACCGGTCTCGCGCCGCCGACATGCTTGGAAGCAGTAGTGGCTTGACGTCGGCTCCGGCTCATCGTCACCGCCATCCTCAAGACCGTCCTCAGAAGCAGAGGCGGGACCATCCTCGTCATCGGCAACCAGGATTGGTGTGTCTCCGCTGGCGCCAACAGCAGGAAGCCCGGCGACTACATCGTCCTCAGCCTCCTCAACAACCTCACTCTCTGCGTCGTTGTCGGCGCCCGGCTCCCCAGCGAGCTGCTGCTCGACAACAGCAAGGGGAACGTCGGCGGCAAAGGCTATCAGCTCAGACACCTTGCGCCTCTTGCGCGGCACGTCGTCGTCAGAGTCATCTGACTTGCGCTTGTTGGTGGGAGGCGAGCAGGAAGGACATGACCACCCAAAGACCCGGGTATTCAGCCCTACACAGCTGAGATGGTAGTACCGGGGGCGGCACCGGCGGTTGACGCACCCGATCATGGGTGTGAGGTAGGTGTCTGGGGTGTCGCAGGTGCAGATGCCGGAAATTGGAGGAGAAGCGCCAGCGCTTCCAGAAATGGCTTGTTCGGTGATGGTAGAAGTCATGTTGGCTGTTGAGAGAAGAGATTTGATGAATGTATGAAGAAGTGGCTTGAAAGTGGTACTGGTAAGAGGAGTTGGGAGTAGAGGTTGCTGAAAGGAAGTAGTAGAGGCTGGGACTGCTTGATATAAGGGAGCCCACGGCTGTACTGCAATGCTGGTCTATTGTATCTACGATAACAATGACTAGCTGAGCAATCCTAGAATAGCGAGAGCAGAAGACTGCAACGACAATAGCACGGCAATGAGGGCGAAGTGAAGGCGGAATTCTTGGCACGCATGGGAGACGAAGTCGCCAACTTCATGCAACGAACAATAGGCGGAGCGTTTGCAATAGCCACAAATAATCCTTGCTGCGCTCTCACAATACAGATTGTCCTACTCTCCGTGACCAACGATCTGCCTCCTCCCATGTACACCCTCCCATTGTTCCCAAAGCCCCTTCCAAACGTCTCTCTCACTCCTGCCTAGACCGGCGAACATAGCGTCTAGTCCATCCCGGTGCAAGCTCGCCGTGCCGATAACTTCCCAAATACCCGGCATCAGCTTCTCCCTCACCTCCTGATCTAATCGTCCGTTGAGCTGGAAGCGGCAGAACGATGCGAGGAGAGGGTACAGGAATTTGCCAGCCTTGTCGCGGGCTGCCTTGATGGGGTCATTAAGGTCTTTGGAGTTACGTGACTGATGATGTTGGTGTGCCTTGGTGATTGAAGATTGCGGTGGGTTGCACAGGGTCGAAAGAAGACGCGTGTATTGCGCTGCGTTTGTGGGCGTGAGGCGCACTGGCTCCGTAGCTGTGACGGTACGTAGCCACGAAGGCAGAGCGCCACTGCGGCTAGCATTCGGAATGAAGAGGCAGAACAGCAGGCCTTGCAGAAGTGGCAAGAGGAGATGGAAGCGTCCGCCCATGCGGCCACGGTGTACGAGTAGGGTGAGGCGACTCGTATGACACAGCCTTGAGAAGATCTCAGGAGCATACTGGGATGATAGTATGGGGCTGCTTCGAGATGTGAGCTTTACGAGCACGCTGAAGACGCATTCGATACTGTGTTGTGAAGCAAGCGAAGGTTTGTCGTTCAGAACTGTATCAATGCAGCCGAGCAGAGCATTGAAAGAATCATAGTCGATACTCTCGGCAAGCAGAACGCATATCCTTGGTAGCAGTGCAAGCTGCCTCTGCTTGAGCTCGGCGTTGGATTCCAGCTGGTCGTCCATGGTCTTGATAAGATCGTCGAGAATGCGGTAGGACGCCGCAAGGTTTGGCTGCTTTTGATCAACAGTCAGTGTTGTGACCAAGTCTAGCTTCTCGTGGAAGGCAAGCGGGCCGAGCGTGTTGCGCAGTGTTGTATACACGTTATCTTGTATACGGATCGAGCTACTTCTGAGGACGGTGAGCGCCAGGCTGATCAGCCACTTGACATCAGGGTAGAGCTCATATTTGGCGATCAATGTGTAGACGCGTGCGAAGTAGTCTACGACTTCGCTCGGGATGAGGACCGATGAGTCAATATATTGCTCGAGGTCAATTGCGTCCTTGAGCCAGGTGCGGAGCCATGCCTGCACGCGGTCAAGCTGTTTCACTTCTTTCAAGGCATCTATGGACAGCTCGTTGAAAGCGTCCAGCGACCCTTGAAGCAGTGCAATGTCCTCACTACCAAGACATTGCTTGAGCAGGTCGACATAGCGCTCGATGTGAAGCAATGAGTTTTGCTTCTGGGAAACCGACGTCGCTCGCAAGACCGAGAGCCTTGCTAGCGTGCACTTGTTGGTGGCTTTTGCAATGGATAGCAGCCGTCCCGCGTAGGCGATGAAGAACTCTTTGTTTTGGGCTTGAGCCTGGTTCGGGATGATATGACCAAGGGTTCTTTGGACGAGCTCTCGCAGAAGCTGCAATGCTGCATCTGTTTCGAGATTTTGACGATGCAGTTGTTCCGCGACGTCGAATATGACGTCTGCGTCGGTAGAAACTTTGGCTTTTGCATTTGGAACATATTGGAGATGTGCCATGACACTTAACGGTACTACTGTGTCGCTCTGTCCTAGGTCGAGGAGTTCGGTCGTGCGGTCCAGTATTGATTGTCTTTGCTCGCGGGACAAAGCCGAAGGTTGAATATGAAGTATTGCTTCGCCGACCACAGCAGGCATCTTGTTTTCGGCTCCCTGTCCGAGAGCCTCCACAAGAGCTGCGCAGTATGCGTCTTGTATGACGGAGTTTCCATGCTCGAGGATGGACTGAGAAAGTGATTGACAGATAAGGTCCCTGGTAACGCTATCGAATTGAGGTAGCTTCGATAGTAACGCATGCAGAGATTGGCGGCATGTATCCTCATCTGCGTGCTCGAGGAGACTGACAGAATATGCGCAGAAAACCTGGATCATCTTCTGCTGTGCGTCGGGTTCTAGCTGACTGGAAGTTAATGAGCTGATCGCCTTGCCTAAACCACTGCGAATGATCTCCTCCGAACCGGACAGGGTCTGAAGACGATCACAGGTATTAAGCCAGAACAATGTTGCAGCAGCTCTTGCAGACGCATCTGCGCCTTCGCCAGCGTCTCGGCGCCCTGCTGACTTGACTTTCAAAGCTTGTTCAAGCAGCGGGTAGAGTAGCTCATGTTGCAGCGGGGAGGATGCGTGAAGCTCGATGGGCCACAACTTCTCTAGTAGCTGGCACAGTGTGAACCAGGAGAGATGGGCATGGGTGTAACGGCTGTACTTGAGTTCCTGAACCCATGTCTTGTATGTGAGGAACAAAGCATGAAGCTCAGATTTAAGTGCTTCGATCGTGTTCTCGGACTGGATCGATTGAAGAAGAGCCGGCAGCAGGACAGCACTGCTTGCTGCATTCTTGTAAGCGGCGAGTTTCCTAACCTTGACGTTCTCTTCGGCGGAGGTCTCGATTGCCAAAGCAAGCTGCGCTAGGCGCTCCGCATGCTCCTGAATCAGTGATGTTATCTGGTTTTGGGTCAAGGATGGTTCGAGAGACTCCGCCAGAGCACTGTGCAGGGCGCGGTCCTCCCAAATGATTTCCTGTCCGTCCTTGAGAGAATTGCGCTTGCCGTGCCTGTAGCTCTTGACCAACTGCTCATCCCATCTCCGGATGAAGCCGAGTAGATTCCGGTGGCGCACAAACGCCAGCATCAGTGGGTTGATAATCCTCTCCAGAATTTCAGCGCGTCCTAAGGGAGCACCAGCCTCGTTGTTGGACGCAGAGTGTCGCTTTTCTTTAGAGCCGGCTGTCTGCTTGTCGGTAAAGCCTGTACCCTCTAGCTCTGAAGCCGTTATCTTCTCGAACAAGAAATCAGTAAGGTCAGTCTGACGCTCTTGCGTGACTTTGTCTCCCAACTTCGACTCCACAAAGACTGATGAGTCGAGCTGAATAAGAGATGCGATGAGGGACCAATGAACCTGCTTCTCCTGACGTTCGGGGTACTTTACACCGCAGTGATACCAGAAGATCTTTTTGACAAGGTCTGCAGAAAGGCTCACTTCATGCGCTTGCAGAACGTGAACGGCACCGCTAAGCGCAGTAACGGCCGTCGGCCGTGTGATGAACTTCGGAGGTGTGGTTAGCGAGCATCCAGCACACTCAGCAAGCACTGAAAAGACAGCCTGTATCCAAGGCTTCTCCATGGCCCTGCTCCTGGGCGTCCGTGATGGAGAGGCGCGGATTGCTAGATCGAGCACGTGAGGGACTGTGTTGAAAAGAGATGCGAGCTCTGGAGGTAGCGCGTCGCCACCATCTTCGATCTGCGCAGCCTGGAGGAGCTTTGCGCGGAGCGGTTCCAGGTTACTTGCAAGGACTGTGGTATCTCGGGCGTTCGGACCAACATCGTTAGAGCCTGTAGCGACACTGACATCTGCAAAGAAAGCTGCTCTTGAGGGTGCGAGCAGGTGTCTCGCCAAAAGCTTGTCGAGCGCTGCGATTGCGCGATCAAAGGTTCTCTGAGAGCATCTCGTTGTACCATCACTACGCATCTTTTTGAGGACTTCCAACAGTGTCAAAATAGGTATGAGGCACTCGGTGTTGAATTCCTCAGCAGATGCCCCAGTCTCGTCTTTGACCTCAGCGGTTCGCAGGTCCCACATCTCAAGCGCAAGCGACAGGTT